TCCAGTCTTAAGTACAGACAAGAGTGTTTTAGCAAGAATCTCCCAACCCTATCGAAACAAAGGAAAATAATCTAAATAAAAATATGAAAAACGTGAAATAGTTTAAAGAAAAATAAATCATTAATCATATATAATATTAGAATATTGAAAGGTTATTGAGAATAATATATACATATTTATATATTAAACATAATATTTTTCATTTGTTTTATTACATCACGTCCGTGTCATTTTGATATTTTTGTTCCTATACATTACCATGACTTAATAATTGAAACAAAAAATAATATATAAATGTGTTTTCCTTATTCTAATATAGTAAAATGTACTCTAAGATAAAACTTAAAAATATTATTAAATACCATACCACACAATAATATTTTAAAGAAAAAAAAAGTTCATTTAACACCTCTCCATTTTTTTACTTTTATATAATACCTAATAAGTATTTTAATTGATTTATTCTAAATTATTTTATATTTTAGAGTAAAATCATTATTTTGTTAATATGAAATAGAAAACGAAGTGTTGGGAGTGGCATCTATTTTAAAATAAAAAATGATATTTTGACAATATTTTAACATTATATATATCATTATGTAATTGGTTTATATTAGTATTTATTATTATTATTAGACCAATCACGATACATGATATTAAAATATTATAAAAAATATTATGAAAATATTATTATTTTTTTTAAATGGTTAATTAACTTGAAGTGGAACATTATTCTTCCATTTTAAGTGCAAACTAACGCGTGATTGACTAGTGCTCTGTTTTCCACTTTATAATGTGAAGAAGGTATGTTGTTATCTACAATTTTCATTTCTATTTATTCTTTCAATGAATACTTTCAATATTTCTGTGGAGTATTGCTTTTCGTACATGGTGAGCATGCTGTCTGTCTGACCTACTGTTACATCTCAATAATTATTTTTACAGTACATTATTTCTTTTGATATTTTTTTCTTCACTTTATAGTATTATCAACATGTAAATGTTTGTTATTCTATGATAAATATAATTAAAATATATTGCAATCATGTAAAAAGACGTTGCATACTGTTGTATATTAAGTCATGCAGCATATCATATTTTCTTTATATTTATATTATTTTCTTTATATTTATATATAGTGAGATCTATATATAGAAATTTGTAATTTGTATTCCCCCCAAAAAAACACAAAAGTGAGTCTTTTTATAAATGAATTTCCATTGACATGGAAAGCTATCAATTCACTCCACATGGATGGTTTCCACGAATTTTCCCAAATGAAAAGATATACGAGTGTTTCTTTCAGTACTTCCCGAAATTTTAAAAGAAAAAACATTATATCGGTGACTAATATTGAATGTTAACCAGATTTGACACCAACCTCTCTTCAATATTATTACACTCCTTCCCTCGTTCTGGTTCATTTTTCTTTCCTATGCTTCTTCGTAGTGCTGTGATGTATTTGTGGTTTTGATGGTAGTCTTGCATGATTGTAGGGGTGGTCATTATCATTGTTGAAAGTGGTTCTAACACTCGATTTCTGACGTGTTACATGTTGTTAAAAATTAATAAAATTTAAAATTTATCAAAAACTTATAAAAGACAATTTTTTCCAATTATACTATTTCAAATAATAAAATAATAAACGAAATATTCCAATTATATCAATCATAATCAAACACACAAGATACATACCTTCTTATTATATCAATCATAATCAAACATCCCATACATAGTAGTAATAACAATAGGATTCATAATCCTCTAACATAAAAAATTCAATCACTAACATCTCACACATAGACCCTTGGTCTATCCACTTATTAACATGCATGCTAACTACTTACTATAATAATTCTATATAGTAACATCACTATCAACATAACATAATCTGGAACATCTCAAGTACCATGATCATCATCATAGATTCACCACCATCATGATTATCCCAGTCATGAACAACACCATGAGCATCAAGTACCATAGTGGAAAGAATCCATATCACTTTTGTACCCTACCTCACCGACGGTAGCCGTTTCTACAGCCCACATGTAGCCTCTCCTATAGGACATTTGTAGTCTCCCCTACAGATCATCTCCTTCCAATGCACACAAGACAAAAGGAAGCACTTATCCATAGATAGAACCAGGATTTACGAGATAACACAAGTAAACTTATCCTCCACCCTCGTGCTCATCAATCACATACTTAGGTACATTCCAACACTCACTCATGCTCAAATCTCAACCACAAAACAAACTGACCCTAAACATAACCACTAACTTCAATATCTGATTATCACCATGTCCACAGCTCTTCAGGCTCGGTTCACGTCCATTCTTCATCAAATTCGTCATTTTTCACCAAAATGCAATGTGATAAAAACATCACGCAGAAAGGGATAATCGATTATCATCCCAGATAATCGATTATTTCTGATACCACACTTAAAACCAATGCGCAGATAATCGATTATAACTAATGATAATTGATTATTGTCGAATCGAAACACATCTTAGACATTATTCAAGCATTCAAACATACATACATATCTCTTAGATCACGTGGAAACATAGTTAACACGTCATACATGCATTCAAGCATCACATACCCATGTAAAAATACTCAAACACGTATAATACATCACTTGAATCATCCAAATCCAATCATTGACATGTTATACCCCCAATAATAGGGTGCAAAAGAGTCTCCGATAAAAACACCAAATAAGGTTTTCAATCAACCAAACAAACTAAGCATAATGTTTACAAATGAGAACCGATAAAATGAAAATTCTCCAAAACAGAGTTGTTGACGTGAAGTTGTTTTCTCCTAAACTAAACTTCTCATTGATGATCCGACCGGTCAAAACGAAAAACCATACGTCTGGAACCTACTGTCCAAACATTAGCCCGATCCAACGGTATACGACTTCACAACGATGAAAAGATCAGTATAGGTTTTCTGAAATTCTCCAAAACATAGTTGCTAATGCGATACTGTTTTCTCCCAAACTAGACCTTCAATTTACGATCCAAACGGTTATAATGAAGAACCATGTGTATGAAACCCATTGCCCAAAAATCAACTCGATCCAACAGTGAACAACTTCACAACGACGAAAACACCAGTGTAGGATTTATGTTATGCGAGAATGACTTCATCTCTTCCTTTCTCTCTCATTTGGTTTTTCCCTTTCTTCAAATGAATCCAATGTGCCCTACTAATCTAACTCATCTACACTAAAACAAAGTGAGACATAATGGTCTACATTATTTAGCATATTTCCACATAGGAAGGAGCTCAATAACCCAACACTAAAACAAAGTGAGACATAATGGTCCACATTATTTGGACTATTCTTCACCTGGGAAAGAAGCTCAATAACCCACCACTTACAACTAGGGATGGCAACGGGTCGGGTCGGGCACGGATAGTGCCTACCCGCAACCCGACCCGACAAAAAAAAATCCACCCGCTACCCGACCCGCTACCCGCACGGATACCCGCTTAAAAAATATCCGCGGGTATTTTAAAACCCGCGGATACCCGTGGATATCCGCGGATACCCGCAAATATTAAAAAAATATATATTTTAATAAATTATTAAAATAAAATTTAAATAAAATTATAAAAAATATATAAAATATAATATAATATAAATTAAATATAAATTTTAATTAAATTTTAATTAAATTTAATATTGTAAAATATAAATTAATGTTAATTTTAATTAAATTTAACTTAATAAAATATAAATTAAATTTTTATTTTTATTTTTTTGCGGGTAGCGGGTATCCGCGGGTACGGATAGTATAATATCCGCACCCGACCCGTTTATAAGCGGGTATTAAAATATCCGCTACCCGCGGGTTGCGGGTAATAAATATCCGCGGGTATCAACTATCCGTCGCGGATTTTATCCGCGGATATCCGCGGGCGCGGATTTTTTTGCCATCCCTACTTACAACATATATTTGCAAGGAACTTCTCAAATATCATAACTTTATTCTCCCTTATCATCAAACTCTTTGTTAGGATAACCCAACAAAACATACATAATACATTCATAGGGAAATCTCATCACAGATATTACATAAACCCTATGCCCATTCACATACAAACTCTTACCCAACAAAAACCACAAATAATCATAATCATATAACATGTATTAAAACAATTACCAATCAAGATAATCAATAACACATATATTATACAACCATAAACAAAAGGTAAGCTTCCACATACTTTGGTCAATCATAAGACTTTATCTACAACCCTAAACCACCACTAATATTCCTTTATACTAAGAGTTTCCCGTCACTCTCTTCTTCTCTCAAAAAGTCAATCTTCTCTCTTCCTCTGTTTTCTTCCTCTGATTTAGAGTTTTTAAAATCTTTAAACACTAGATCACTCCTTAATTAATTTCTACACCAATTAAATAAAAGTAAAAAATCTTTTTACCCTTTGAAAAAATATAAAAATAATATAACAATTATGTTATAATAAAAACACTAATTTTCAAATAAAAATCCAAAATTTTAAAACTATTTTATTTTTATTATCCTTATTTTTTTTCGCCCTTATTTTTTTCGGATCTTCCAGTTATTCGTGATGATGATCCTTTCCTCTTTACGAGAACTGATGTTACTCAACATAAGGGAAAGGCTTGAAAATGTATTTCAAAATACCTTTTTTTTTTCATGGTTAAGAGCTCGCTGTGAAAACCTATTATAAAAAAAAAAAAAAAGTGGTTCGAACTACATTTTTCTCTTAATGAGTATTTCCAAATACGTTTAATTACATTATTTAATTCAAAAAATTAGATAATTAAACTTGTAAGGAAGAATAAAGAGACGATGATGTATAACGAAAAGGATAGACGGTAATCAGTTATTTTTCAAGTAGTTATAATCTTTACTTACATTTAAACATTTATGATCGAATTTAATAAAAGAAGGCAATTTTGGGAGGACTAAAAATCACGTGACTTTGTTATGATATCTAAAAAGAGATAAAACAAATCTAACATCTACACTTGTGCGCATGGCTAGCTAGTGATAACAAGACCGTGTTTGGTTTGTCTTCGGAAGAAGCAGTCAATATTTAATAAGCCATTAATGCTCGCTCTTCCTGCTGTTGCTGTTACTCCTAGCAGTTCAATCCCATCCTCACAAAAATAAAAATAAAATAAAACAAAAAATTAAGATAAAAAATGAACACAAACAGAGCCGAAGCCGAACGCTTGCTCGCCATCGGTGAGAAGCTGCTCGAGAGCCGTGACCTGAGCGGCTCCCGCGACTTCGCCATTCTCGCGCAGGAAGCCGAGCCGCTCCTCGAAGGCTCCGACCAGATCCTCGCCATCGTCGACGTCCTCGTCGCCGCCGAGAAGCCGATCCACAACAGCCAACTCGATTGGTACGCCATTCTCCAAGTGGATCGCACGTGCCAGAACCTCGATCTCATCAGAAAACAGTACCGCAGACTCGGTCTTCTCCTTCACCCTGACAAGAACCCTTTCTCCCTCGCCGACCACGCTTTCAAGCTTGTCACCGATGCATGGGCCGTTTTATCCGACCCGGTTCAGAAAGCCTTGTACGACGGAGAGGTCGCCGGTTCGGTCGAAACGGCGAGTTTCTGGACCGCATGTCCGTACTGTTACTTTCTCTTCGAGTACCCTGCGGATTGCGAGGGGTGTTGCCTGAGGTGCCAGAATTGCGAGAGGTCGTTCCACGGGCTTTCGATTCCGTCGCTCCCTCCGCTCGTGCCGGGCCAGGAGGCCTATTATTGTAACTGGGGGTGCTTGCCCATGGGCTTTGTGTTTGGAACTTTGGGCTCCAATGGGCCTGGGTCTGTGCCTGAGAATGGCCCGAATGCTGTTTCGAATGGGGCTGCTTCGGAGTTGGGTTCTCTTTCTGCGCGGAAGCAGGGAAGGCCTCAAAAGGGGGTGTGAGTTTTTTTGGCTTGTGTTTCGCTTAGAGCAATTGAAAAGCAGAAACCCATGGAGGTAGCGTTTTCTTTAGTTGTTTAACCTAAATTAGTTTTTGTTCGTTATAATTTTTTTTCTGGTGGTTCATGTTATTAATGTAGCTCTCTGATGTCTATATCTCAATCTCAAAGTAGATTAATGTTGCTCCGTATCATTTATTTTCTTTCAATTCATTGAGCGTTTATGGATTTGGGAAACGTTTTTCTATTGTTTATATGAATATACTCAACTTCAAAGATTTTTTTGGAAGCGCATTTGCGTCCTTTTGTCATCGTCGTTCGGTTGAGGCTGCCACATTATTTTGGTTTTGGAGTTAATTTTGAATACCTTGGCTAATTTGCCAAGCGTTTTTAGGGATCAGTTTCGTTGTAATTTTTGCTGTTTTGGGTAGTTCCACTTATCTGAGATTGAGATTCATTTTAGGTATTGGAAACAATTTTTTCCAATTGATTTCTTCTGTATTTCAAGTTTTACAATTTGAGCCTGTTTTACTGATGTTGAACTAGCTTAGGACAAGTATGTTGAAATTAATAATCCCAAGGCACTAACTGTAAGTACACAAGAGGCCAAGCCAGATTATCCTTACAAATTGGCATTCTTTTCTCTTGTGAATTATAGCTCCCCTTGTACTTCAATTTTGGAAGGAAGATTTTCTGGTTATTTTCCGTTTCGAATCTGCATTCATTGGGTGTATCNATCGTCGTTCGGTTGAGGCTGCCACGTTATTTTGGTTTTGGAGTTAATTTTGAATACCTTGGCTAATTTGCCAAGCGTTTTTAGGGATCAGTTTCGTTGTAATTTTTGCTGTTTTGGGTAGTTCCACTTATCTGAGATTGAGATTCATTTTAGGTATTGGAAACAATTTTTTCCAATTGATTTCTTCTGTATTTCAAGTTTTACAATTTGAGCCTGTTTTACTGATGTTGAACTAGCTTAGGACAAGTATGTTGAAATTAATAATCCCAAGGCACTAACTGTAAGTACACAAGAGGCCAAGCCAGATTATCCTTACAAATTGGCATTCTTTTCTCTTGTGAATTATAGCTCCCCTTGTACTTCAATTTTGGAAGGAAGATTTTCTGGTTATTTTCCGTTTCGAATCTGCATTCATTGGGTGTATCTATACTGCAACCTTGGCGAATGCTCCATGATAGATGAGTGTACAGGCTAAAAGTGAAGTCACAGTCTACATTATTGTGAGTTCTCTATTATTTAAAGCCTTTGCCCTCTAAAGTGAGGGGTGTAGAAGATAGTGTATCTTCTAACTGTTCATAAGAAAATCACACTTCAGATTGTTGGATAGTGAATTATCGATTTTGTTGCGCAGATGTTTACCCTCTTAATCAGGTTATTAGATAATAGTTAATAGATATATTATTTTTATCTTTTATTATTTTTTATTTATATTTTAAGCTTATTTTATATTTTTTATTATAAATAGAGTAGTTATATGTATATTTAATATAAAAAAAATTAATCTTATACATAATTTTTATTATATTGAACAAGTTGGATTAAAATACAGGTATTCTGATGTTAAAATACAGGTTAACTGATCAAGTACATGATTTGATTAGGTAAATGGTTAATCTATTTAGCATAGATTGGCAGATCAAGTTCAAGAACTTAACGATATAAGGATATGTGGCCAGGTAAAGAGGATGATAGGGGCTAGAGGAGGCGATATTAATGTTCATGGTATGATTCATATTCTCCCAGCTTAGAAGTTAGAACCTAAATGAGCACGTTAGCTAATGTGTAAATTTATTTTAGGTTAGCCATTGCAATAGCTATTATAGCTTTACCTACAAACTGCATGCTATTACAGAAGTAGTTGAGACCGCAATGCTAGTTCATTTTCATATGTGTTGACCAACTTCAAATTTTCAAAAAGAAAATATAAAAGAAACCTGTTAAAAAATTGAACAAAAGTAAATCCAATGTGAGAAGTAAATCCAAGTTCATCACGTCTGTGTTTATGCACATTTCACATATCCTTATAGCTGTCAGGAATGCATCATTAAATGTCTTAGATTTTCTGGTGGTGGAGACATTGGAGGAATTCCACACATAGTCATAAACAACTCTATATAAAACCCTTCAAAAGTGAGTCTCTCACACATTCAAAATGAAACATACTTTTCTGGAATGGATGACTCTCAATACAAGGATTCTTTACCTATCCACTTTATATCATACTTATACCAATAGTCAACAAAATGAACTAAATTTTTAAGTTGTGAAAGAACTCATAAGAATATCAAAACACTACATTTAACCCTAAACATTAAGGTAGATTTACAGGTTATTTTACTTATAAATTATTTATCTTATTTTTATGTGAAATTTTAAAATATGAGCATTGACATCAAATTAATTATTCTTTAAAATATTTAATGTTGAGTTTTCGAGAAATAAAATTTAAAATTATAATGTGAAATTAATCAATTTAATTATTTTATCTGTACCAATAAATATTATATATGTATATATATATATATATATAATACTAATAAAAGTTTATGATATTTTAATAACTTCAGCTATGAGTAAATGATGAGTTAGAGAATTATGAGTAATATTAATATTTATCTTATTCGTTGACAACAAATTGTAATAGCTAAAATTCAATTTCACACATGTAGAGGTTGACTTACTTTTGTGAAACCAACTCAATCAAAATAAGAATCACAATATTTAAGTACCATTTAGGGAACCACCCTAACGATAAAGCCACCTTAAAGGATGGGTGTTTTTCCGACCTAATATTATTAACCCTTCAACATTTAATTGTCATACATTAATATTTACCTTGGTTTTTCTATCATCCTTTTTAATATATTTGAAAATAATTTTTCTAGAAAAGGAACCATGACACGTCCTAAATTTTGTTAACATTTACTTAAAAGCTACATACATCTAATTCAATTTAAACCATAATTGAGTACTATATACATCTATGCAAATATTCTTTTAATTACAAATTACAATTAAAATTAGGTGATTATTTGGATAACTTTTACTCTTACATAATTTTGATGCCTTTTTTTTTTATTTAAGCATATATTTATTCTTGTTATTTGAATATAATAGAAATGAATATTTTATTTTAAATACTAACAATATTATCGTCTCAAATTATATTATTACTAAAATTACAGTCAAATATTTTAGCTATAAAATCTATGGACCATATAACTCTTAACCTATCTAGTATGTACTTATCTTTTTGGATAGAAGTTAAGACACAGGACACTCTATGAGAGCATTGGACAAACTTAGAAATGAAAATAAGAGTAGAATAGATATAGAGTCTTAGTATCGTAGAAGTGGTTGGAAAAAGTGACCTGAATGTAAACAATCTGTAAAAGATATTGAATGATTAATTGGAAAAGCTGAAGCATGATCTACAGCTATGGAACAAAGATGTATTCGGGATAATGACAACCAAAAAACAACAAATAATTAGGAAGATTAGTGAACTCGATAAGATGGATGATAAAGTAACCTAATGGGTTTAACTTTTACTTCGTTAAATATAATTGGGGTCAATAAAGAATGAAGTAATCCAAGCAATAAAATGGTTTCATAGTTTTGGGTATATTCTAACCAGTTGTAATGCATCATTTATAGTATTGGTACCAAAGAAACTCCTAATAGTAGCTGAATGGTTAGCAAAGATAGTGAGACTGACGACTAAGAAAAATTTATACTAAGAAGTGAGAATGGCCAATAAGAATGTTGAAATTGACTTCTTACAATTTGCAAATGACACCATATTTGTATGTTAACCTACCATTGAAAATGTTATGGTTATAAAAGCTATCTTGAGAAGTTTTGAGATGGTGTCTACACTTAGGGTTAATTTTTATAAAATCAAAATAGGAGGTATAAAGTTGAAGTTTGATAATGTGACAATTTTCTAAAATTCTAAATTACAAATATATGAAATGCCATTTAAGTACTTAGGTATGACAATAGGGAGGAATCCAAGAAAAATACAATTTTGGCAAGAAATGGTAGACTAAGTTAGAAAAATAAATTATTTAATTGAAAAGGTAGATTGTTGTCCTTCGTTGGCCGTGTATGTCTTATCAAATTTGTAATTTCAGCTTGAATTAAATGAAAAACTCTATGCAAATCAAAAGAAGGAAGAGGTCTGTGTATAAAAGATATATAAAACTTTAACAAAAATCCTTCTAGCAAAATGGAAATGGAGACTAGGTGTGAAAAACTAAGGTATGTGGAAAGGGGTGTTAGAGTCTAAGTATGAATCTTGGAAGAACTTAAATGGAGTAAATAGTGATAAAAATGGATCATGGTAGTGGAAAGATCAATGTATGATGAGTGGGTGCAACTAGCAAGGTAATTGGTTTGAAAATAGTGTAATGTGGAGAGTATGTGAAGGTGATAAAATTAAATTTTGGAGTGAAGGTTATTCCGAAGGCACTAATATTAGGGTGGAGGGTATTGCTGGATAAGGTGGCAACAAAGGAAAAGTTAGTAGTCAGGGGTGTACTGTTAGACAATAATATGTGAGTTCTTCATAAGAAGTGAAGAGAGTGTCAAATATATTTTAATTTTCTTGTAAAGTAGTCTAAATATGCGAGAAGGATAACAATAATTTAACAATATTCTTTTGATAACATTTTAACATCATCTATGTATCATTATGTGATTGATCCATGTTATTGTTTATGATTATTATTATTAATTATAGAGTAATTTTGGACCAATCACAAAATGACACAAGAATGATGTTAAAATGTCAAAATCATTATTCATAGAGAAATATTTATGTAGTGAATCCAGTGCATAACTATTATATAGTTAACTTCCAACACTTTCACCCTCATGCAATTAAATGACAAACAAAATCAAATATGAAAAAGAATGTAAGTAGCTATTGTCTTGAAAATTTGGTAATATAGAAATGAGGGTAATATTTAAAGAAGGAAAGATAAATATATATGAAATATTTTGTATGACACAAAATGCATGTATAGACATGGATGAAACATAAACTATCCAATATAACATTCTCATATATTTCATTGTATGCGTGGTTATATATATTATATAATAAAAAATACATAATTTTTAAAATATAAGTGTTTTTTTTTGTTTTTACTTTACGTAATGAAATAT